CTTATCAAATCTTAAGACAAAAGCTTCAGGTAATACTTAGCTATTTAAATATAAATTATAAGAGAAGTATCAGATATCACCTGATATTGTAAGGTGAACTAAATTTCTTAGAAGAGGGAGATATAAGCAAATCGATCTTAGCTAATATTTAGAAATGTACCTTGTGCGAGATGATAAAAGTATCATGCCCACAATTTATGTAACTCGCACAAGTGAACATCATATATTGCATAAGATAAACTATTCCATTAAGAAAATTTTAATGAAATTTCTAGCATACAATCTAAAATGAATTCTTATCACATGATTCAAAATCTTGTGCGAAAAAGTCTCGCATGCAATATGTAAAATGTATGCTAGGTTTACTTTATGAAATTACATCTCTAGCCACATCCCTAATCTAAAAAAAATTTTAGTAACATCTATTGTTAATATTAGATTTCACCTAATAGTATAAATATGGCCAAAATGTATGCAAGAATTAATGGTTATGGGTGTTCTGCACCTCCAAAACCACCTATGGTAAAACAAATTATGTCAGAAGAGTGCGAAAAACAATTTGAAGTTTTTTTTTCTGACAAAAATAATATAAATATGAGTTCTTACAAAACTGATAAAAAAAGTAGTTTATTTAAATAATTAAAAAGATGTATTGTGGAAAAGATTTCATCAACAATTTTCAAATAGCATGAAATGGACTGTGTTTTTTAATCGATTAAAAAATGATCTATTTATTTACAAAGAGGACTTAGGTGGACTTTGCTCAATTTGTAGCCAGTATGAGTATGATGTATTTTCTGATTTAATAAATCTAGTTCGTGAAGAAGTTAATAACCTAGAACAACAGGTAATTAATTATATTAATGAAAATAAAAAAATATAATCTATTTATCAACTGCAGTAATAGTACTATATGTTTTACTTGAAGTTAAAAAAAGGTTATTATAGTAAAATTAAGTAAAAAATTTTTTTTGTTAATATAAAAGTTCGGATTTTGAGTTCTTTGAATCATACAATCTGATTAACCCAGGACTATAACCGCTAGTGACAAATGAATTTATCCAAAAATAAAATTAAATTAATAATTTTTATTTTAGACTTATTTTATATCGGAATTGGAAAGCCAAAAATGTTATCTAAAACTTCAATATTGTCAACATTTAGAAATAAATTGTGATAGTATTACACAACATAACATATGTATTAATCATTGCTTATTATTTGTATTTGGAGAGTGTAATAAAGTTCACTCTTTAGAATGTCAAGAATGCACACAAATATTTGGTCTTTTTGGAGAGTTACGTGACATAATTTCTAATGAAAAATTAGAATCCATAAATGAATTACAAAGTCAATTAATGTACTATATTTCACATCATACCAGAAAACAATATCTTAATAGCCAACTTAACACCAATTTAATGCAGCTTAATTCAAGTGGTGCCTTAATAATTGTAGATTACAAAATGCGTATTTTACCAAAGCGTGCTCGTGAAACTAAACAAGATTTTTTTGGAAGACGAGGATGGACATTACATACCATTCTTGTATTCACTAGATCTGAAAATTCAGCAGATATAAATATTCATGCTTTCGACTATTGGTCTGCTGATATTAAACAAGACGCTTGGTTCACTGCTTCTTCATTCGATGCTGTATTCAATTTTCTTGAACAAAAACCAAAATAGGTTATTGTTATATCTGATAATGGCTCTCACTATCACAATTCAGAGTTGATGGTAATAGTATCATACTGGAAAGAATGGTATGATATTGAATGTAAAAAATAGATATTCTTAGAAGCAGGAGAAGCTAAAACAACAATAGATTCTCACCATGCTCAGGTATTATAATAATGTACTGGATACAATCAGGGCAGCCACTAATTTTTCTGTCGTATGATAAAACGCTACTGCCGCAGTTCGATGACACAATATGAATTGACCACACAAAAAATTTGATTTTTGGTGTAGTCAATTTGTATTGTATCATCAAACTGTGGCAGGTGCGTTTTATCATACGATCAGGAAAAGTAGTGACCGCCCTAGTCATATCCAAGTACTGTAAAGGAAAACCCTAAAAATATAAATTTTCACTATGCCAAACTTAAATTCAGAAAATTTGATAATAATAATTATCAAATTTTCTGAGTTTATTATATAATCTCGAAATAATGCCCTAGGCATTATTTTGGGATGCACAATTTAAAGAGAGCTAAGAATTAATTTAATTGAAGATTTCATTAAGTAATAATTTTTGTTCGCATTTGGTTAAATAAATTCTTAGCTCTTATTATACTATGCAGTGTTGGTCATAACCAACTTTATATAACCAAAGTGATCATAATATAATATAAATTTTATATGTCATAACAGGTTATAAGATCATAACCTATAATTAGCCAATAGGTCTATTAATTTGATATCATACAATAAGTTTGGCATAGTAAAAATTTAAGTTCATATTTATAGGTTTTCCCTCTACGATACTCTTACCATATTATCCTTGCTATTACAAACATTTTAATATTTGTAAGTGCTTAGATTTCTCATTGCATAAAACGATATGTACATCTTGGTTTTGATGTAACAAATGGTGAAAATATAGAAAAAGCAATGCAAAATCTTAGTGGAACTTCAACTGCTCATATTCAACCTAACTGCAAAAATAGAAATAAAAACCATTTTAGGAATATCTAACTACTCAGAATGGACTTGGCCAATTGAGGGCTATATGCAGGATTTATATGCTCATACCCATTACCTGGTTTTGGAAAGACAAATTACACAGATCTATAAATTGTTAAAATCAGATATTGAGCAACCACAGCCTGAATATTCAAATCATACTATATCTCAAGGAATCTGGATCATGCCTGTATACCATTTATCTGGTAACTAAAATATCAATTTGTGCAAAAATTAGAATTTCAAATTTGACAAATTAAAGTAAACATAATTTAAATGCTATAAATATCTTACTTAACAAAGCTTCTAACACTAATTCATAGGATTTGAGACGGTGGACTACGGCTAAGTTACATGAAGAATTAGAGAATCTTGATATTTTTGTTGATAAAAATACACCTAGAGATGAATTAATAACTGTTTTAAAAACAAACCTATGCTTAAAAACTTTGGACAACCTGGAAAATAATAACACCAGTATGGAGAATGTAGTAACTGAAAATATCGATTTGATGGATATTGACAAGTAAGCGATCTAGATTTTTTTTTTAAATAGATTATACAGTATCTTGTCAATTTATTATTATTGTTTTGTTTAATGATTAGAGCACCAAATATTATTTTATTCTCATTACCTCTTGGTTGGGCATTAAGACACAATCAAAAATATGAAAAAAAAGAGAAAAAAGATTATCAAAAGACATGGTAGAAGTTTTAAAAAGGTTTTTTATGTTGGGCCAAGCAGATTCAAGTGATCGATATACCACTAGTGATATGCATAATGGTCTATTAGAGCTTGTAGAATGTGGAGAGATCAATGAAGAGAATGTTTCTACACAAAGTACAATAGAAAATTGGATTAATCGCTATTCACAAGAATCAAAAAAAGAGGCAGCAGAATGTATATTAAATATTTCTGCACAAGCCACAAGTAAGTGATAAGATAAAAGAGTAACTAAAAATATATCTAATTGAAATTTGTATCAAATCATTATTCAAAGAAAAATAAGTTTTATGCTGTTAAAATAAATGATAGAATATTCACCTGCTATGAATATAGTATATAATGTTAGATCAGCCAATTTAGAGTAAGATCTTGCTAAGCAGTATTTGATCTCATAAAATATATACATCTTCTTGAGCCTTATACAGCTTTTATTAATGATGTAAATGTCCTTAATTAATGAACTATGGATTGGAATTGTTGGAATTAGCACAAAAATAAGACACCAATCTGACTTTGCCCACTACTTAAGCATTTTAAATAAAAAGACAAGTTAACCAAAAAACTACTCAAAACGAAGCGTAAGGTGATGATGCTTCATATGTTAAAAGGTAATCTTAAAAAAATAACATGATAGTTTATACTTTTTATTGCCCACCTTTTGTAACTTTCAAAAATTTAAGCAGAAATCTATCATACCCCACGTTACACTAATTATTTTGTATCACTGATCGGTGGATCACAAATTAATAATTTAGTAAATATATATATATATACTGTATATATATAATTTTTTAAAATAATTTTTTTATTAATATCAACCTATATGAATATGCAGAGTACAGTATAACAAAAAAATTTAATATTAACTCCTTACTTCACCAACAGTTTATAAATTATATATCTAAACTAGAGATGTACCTCGCGTGAGATAGCAAAATTCTCACAACGCAATTTCATGCACCTTGCACAAGGATGATGTCAACCTTGCATGAAGTAAAATTATTTGATTAAGATAATTTTAATTAATAATCAATTTAATAGTTTTTTTAATTAATTAATATTAAATAGCTATGTACTTATTA